AAAGATTATTTATCCTTCTGGGACATAGCTCAGAGTTGATTTCGGTCTGGGGCCATGTCAACATTATACTTGTATTGACGAAAAAAAGCCTCACTGAGGTCATTGAAGTTGCATATTTGGGTGCTATCCTAACCCATGTACCATTTCAGGGTGGCACCAGTTAAGCTGTCCAGGAAGTAGTGAATTAATAGCTTATGATCATCAGAGTAGGTGGACAACTTCCTCACACACATGGTCACGTGACTTTGCGGACATGAGTGACCTTTGTATTTTTCAAAGTCCGACACTTTGAACTTAGGTGGAATTTTCACATTTGGGACCAAACACAAGTCGTGAGCATTTTTCCCAAACAAGTCTTTCACTTTAAGTGCTCTAATTTCCCTATGCATTTCTTGGAATTGGTCTTGGAACTCCTCCATCCTATCGAAGATGCCTAAACTTTCAGAAGGTTCAGCATGTTAAATGAGTTCATTTATATATGGAATATTGTGAACCATGGGAGCAGCACTAGTCATTACAGGATGAGGGAAGGATACCATAGGCTGGATCACAAGTTGCACAGTAGTCATCTCAGGTTGAGGAAAAGATACAACAGGTTGAATCATGGGTTACACAGTAGGCTGGTACCCTTCTGGCGTGAAATTAGAAAGGCATACCCCATGGAAACCCTTTCTACATTTGATGTTTCAGAAGGTTGATTTGAGCCAAAGAGGCTAAGGTAGTGATGACCTCGAAAACAACATTAGTTTGAGCTTGAGCTTCAGTGGCCGAAGTCGATGGTTGATTCTGAGAAGCCATCAAGCTTTCCACCAAAGAAGTCAATTTTTCCATTCCAGTACTAAGAGTAGTAACCTCCCTGCAAAGCTCATGATTTTCTTGCTCTAGATCTTCCATTCTCTTTTGATGATTGGCTCGAGTATTATACTGGTGAAACATATTGACGATCTATCAGAGTGGAAAAAGAAGCAAGAATAAGACTCTAGAAAACATGTAAGATTGAATGTTGAATGATGCATGATATGCGATCAAATGATTATTTATTTTGATAGTTTTTCAAGGAACTTTAAAATATTGATAACTTTACAAACATCAACGGTAAAGAACTTTGGAACAACAAAACTTAATTCATTAATAAAAGGCAGAAAATTACAACTTTGGAACATAGAAGCCCTTTAAAGAGTTTTACAAAATGGGATAAGTAATAAAAGCTAGGGACTATGATCATTCAGAATCATCATCGGACGAAGGACCAAATGCTACTTGTAACTTGAGCTTCCTAATCTTCTTTTCATAGAAGTCTTCCATCTCTGTCTTCTCGGTTATCAGCTAATCAACAACTTTCTTCCATGGATTAGGAACAGGAGTAACGTCTATCAAATCTTCCTTCTTTCTCTTCTTTTCCTTAGCACATTTCTTGAGAAATGCATCTTTCTGACGAAGCTTCTAATCACAATCAATAAACCAACCATCTTAAATAAATAACATATCCTTCTTCTCTTTCAGCTATCTAGTCAGGACCCTGTTTTCGTATTTTGATATACTATATTTTTCCTTCAAAAATTCTCTTTCAGACTCCATTCTTATTAGATTTTCCTGATACTCTTTCATGTTCTCAATAGGAATGGCAGTGGATGATGGTGTAATAACAGGGAATAAAGGTTTCTCAGGATAATAAGGCATCTTGAGAACACAAGCCCTAGCACGAACCCATTGAAGGTAAGACTCCAAAGAAACAACACCTCTCTGCCCTAACATGTCTCTTCCCTTTCTATGGACAGGGTGCCAAGCCCTTTCAATCTCCTCCTTAGTTGCTTTGTAATCCTTTCCTTCTTGGAGAAATAAACCACTCAGATGAATGTTGTTTGGCTTGTCCTTCATTGGGTACCCAAACTCGCGGCGTGTGAGAACATGATTGTAGTTAATCCCTCCCTTCGTACCAAGAAGAGGCACATTGGGAAAACACCACAACTATCAATGATCTTCACATCAGAAAAAGATTAATTATACCAATCAATGTCGGAATGAGTAAGAGCCATAATTTTTGGCGCCCATCGTGGCTCCTTCTTGAGATACCAAAAAACATCAGACTCAGGTAAATGGGAAACATACCACTGGTATAACAATGGTGTACAACCGATAATCATCCTATCTTGGTAGGAATTCCGAAGATGGATGGAATAAAAGGTATCTCCTAGTAGCGTAGGGACTAGATTTCCAATCAAAAAGATTCTAATGGCGTTGACATCCACGAACTTATCAATGTTAGGGAACAAGAACAACCAATAAGCAAGCAAAGCAAAGACAACTTCAAAGGCGACAATATCCTTTATCTCGGCTAAGTAACAAACTTTCTTTAACAAAAACTGTGCAGGTAAGCCTCGGATTCCTCTCTTGGTTGTCATGTTATCTTCTATCTCAGACTTCCTCAAGTGGGTAACTGTTTCTATCTCATGAGATTTGGGTTCCCCTTCTAAACCGGAGAAAGGAACACAATCGGTGATTGGTAAACCAAATATAATAGAATACTCTTCCAAAGTGGGCATTAACTGATAATCAAGAAAAGTTAAGCATCAATACAATGGATCATAGAACTGGACCAACGTAGTAAGGGTACCTTCCTTCATCTTGCGCTTCATAAGAGGAATAATAGATCCATACTTCTTTTGGAAATCCGTAAGGTTCTCAATCTTGGGAATCAAACTCTTCAACGTTTCAATCTCAGGATCCTTGAAACTGTAACTCCGAGTGTTCCTTTTTCCAAAATCCATGGTAAAAGTACCTGAGATGTCTGGAAAAATCATTCTTAAGTTCCTTGAAAAACATGTTTAAAGAATTCTTATGGATGCTCGAATGAATGATAATGCAACAATTACACATAAGTTCACAAACATGGGGGTTCAAAGGTTCAATGCTACGAGCATGGAGTCAAAGGTAAAGACTACACCCAAGGTATGTACTAAAGGTTTAATCACACATGTAAAACAAGGTTCTAAAATTTCCCAGAGTCTACGATCCTCCTTCGGATATTACCAATGTCTTGATTACTCGATAATTAGCAATATTCTCAAGAGAAACTCGTCTGAGTGCAGCATCGCGTGATAACTCCTTCCATATTACTCCGCTATAGTCTCCACACTATACCTAATAGGCCAAGATGGGTTAAGGGTTATACGGTTCTCAGCTTCTCTGACTCCCAGACCGAAAGCAGTAACATCTTCCCGATTACTCAGAAAACGAATACTACAGTCAAAGGGGCTTCCACTGAGTTGGAGATTTCATGTCTCCTTATTCGGGATTACTCCCTCAAAGTTAACATGACTATACCGTCTGTCATATTCTTAATTGTAACTTAGTCTGGGTATAGGACTTGTCCTTTGTAAGTATCATCAACACCCAAATAACCATAATATATAACATATAATCAAACAAACAAATAATAATAAAAATACATATGAAAAATTAGGCTTAACCCACTTAGGGATGGACCAACAAGAGGTCAATCTTTCCCCAGCAGAGTCGCCAATTCTGTAGCGATAAAAAATGTAGCGGTGTAAATCGGAGATTGAGCTATTAATTAGCTCGACTCGTAAAAGCAAGAGTCGCCACTGCGCTTTATTATTTCCAAGGGGAAATGGAAAAGAGCGAAATAAAACCCTTTAAATATGCAATGTAAAGTAATAATTAAAAGTAATGAAAATACAATGCATTTTTGAAAGTGATCGAAGGTTCGGGGGTTGGTTATACAAAGGGAAGGTACTAGCACCAATGCATCTGCGGTACTCCGAATGAACCTTTTGAAATTTTTGGTTAAAATTGTTTCTTTGGTTAAAATGGGTGTGAATGAGATTTTGAAGATACGACGACCTAGTGTCAAAGTTTCGACTTAAAAGTTGTGAGTTTTAAAATTGAGTCTCTTAGGAAAATTAATTTAAGATTAAAAAAATAGTAAAACAAAAATGAATGAAGGGATTCACTCAATCGTATAAGATGTATTTGATAACATGAAGTCAAAAAAGTTAAAACATTTCCCTTGGATTGTAGACAAATGAAAGATATAGAGATTAAATGATCGAGAATAAAGTTAATTAGAGCGACAATTGAATAATTAAATAAACAACAAAAATTCAATAAGAGACTAATTTATACTAACATGTATTTTTTGAACAATTAAATAAATAACAAAATTAAATAAGAGACTAATTTATCAAGCATGTATTTTTTGTATTTTATAATGGCAAGAAATAATTATATATAAAAATAAACTAAATTAATATTTTGTTATCATATATTTAATAGAATTTGGAAATAAGGCTAAAAGAACTAAAAAACAAAATAAAATACCCCCAGCAAGGGGTAGAACTCGGGTCCCTTAGGTTGCAACAGACATGCCTTGCCACTGAATTATTGCTATTTATCTGTTATGTCAATGCTTTAATTAAAATAAAAGGCAATGATGATAAGGTCATTGGGCCAACAATCCCATTAGGCCGACCCGGTTTGGAAGAGACAAAGATGGGTTTGAAAACCCTAAACATGATGAAGGCGCCGCTTGGCTGTCTTTGGAACGTTACAGCCACTAATTGTTATTAGGAATGGAAATAATGGAGATTTAATTATTATTATTCCAATAAAATTCAATTAAAATAAAAAATTGAAACGATAATAATACACTCCTCTCTCTCTCGGAATCTCGTATCATCTTCCTCAAGTCTATTCCAACCACCATTCTTCTCTCGCTCAAACAAATCATCACCATCATCATCGATTCCTTTCCCTCCCATCTATATCAACACCATCACCTTCTACCACTATCTCGCCTTCTCGACAAACCCATTTTTCTTTTCCTCACCCAAATCACCCCCTTTCACAGAGGACTTAACACTCACATTCTTCACAGAAACCTCCTGAACAGAACTTCTAACGTTGATCCTTTTTGATTTCTCCATCACCCTACCTTCTATTAATCTATAGCATCAACCCGTATGGATTTAACGGTTTTCCTATTCCAAAGATTCCAAACTTACATCAGGGGTTTGTATGGATTGATTTTTTATGGTAAGAAAGAGGCGAAAATTGGGTGTTAGCGGTGGAGAGTGAAACGAGGCATCTGGGTTGTGAAGATATTTAGATGTAAGAGGAAAAGCTTGGGGTTTGGCGATATTGGTATACATTGAAATAATAGAATAAGTGAAGAATTGTGAAGTGGTTGAATAGGGAAACTGGAGATATGATGCGCTGGGGCTTTTGACCAGCAACATAACTCTTGTCATGGTGGTTATTGGCAGAGAGCCTAGTATGTTGACATTTTGAACCACCACAAAAGTCATTGGAGGCTGATGATGCGGTTGGAAAATCATTCAAATCGGTTAAGTATTGGTTGACAGATGAGCGTTGTACAAGCTTGAAGAGAGAACTTGAATGGTCGTCATAGTATGATGGGACAAAACATGTTTCTAAAGCTTGTAGGAATCCGATCTAGGTGGTGATTAAACTATTGCTAGACCGAAGGATAATCCTCCTTCATTAGCATACAATGAACTACGATATCAATATTAAGCCCCGACATATCTTCATATGACCAAGCGAGCACCTCTACGTAGTCGTGCATCATCTAGATAAATCTTATCTTGACATAGTCTTCCAAGTTGGTGTCGATCTTCACTTCCCTCTTGTCTACCTCATTATCTAGGTTGATCACTTTAACAGGTTCCTCGTGTGGTTGAATGGCCTTTTCCTCTTGCATCAGAAATCTGGCGAGTTCCCCAGGTATTTCACAATCTTCTTCGCCTTCGTATTCGTCTTGATAGATTGGATGTTCAAAGTCATAGATGGCAATATCAGAGTCGTTGTCAATGAGATCTAGAGTGGATGTGGATCTGCAAATATGTGTGTGTGTATGTGTGTGTGTGTGTGCATGTAAGATCAGATGACTACTTGAAAATGCAACAAAGTAAAGAAAGGCAAAGAGTGTAAAAATTTGAATGTAAAATATTCCAATTTTTTTCATTAAAATAAGCATATGGCATATGAAAATGACAAACCCTTAACAAATGGACCACTGTGCCCCAGGCAAGGCACATTACTTAAAGTTATTATTTTAATAGAAATTACAGACAAAGTTCTCAAACTAATGAAATAGTAAATGGTAATTAGTCATTGTTGAAGGAGATGGGAATGAAATCCTTGGCATGCCAGTTGTTGAGTCCTCCACTAGAAGTTGGGTAGATCCAACCTTCAAAGTCACAGTCAACATCAGAGTCCTCAAGAGCATTAACCTCATGGCTAGTGATACAGAGAGGTGGTTTCCCTACACGAGCACGTCGAGCCTCCTTTTGAGCTTTGGAAGTGAAGCCCAATCCAAATTTGTATGACTTGAAAGGGAAATCAGGAAGTTGTCCCCAAATGGTGCAACCTTCGTCTTCACAATAGCACGTGCATCTTTGAGAGAAGCCATCATCGGTGTATCTTTAGCGGTTTTGGGAGTAGCTGGAGTGGCCTTGGCAACAACAACCATGGGAGAGACCACTTCAAAGGCTTGACAAGGATTTTCTATGAACTCACCATCCATTTCAACATATTTAAATGAATTTAGATGACTAATCATAAACTCTTCTTCACCGCATATGGTAACAATTTTCCCCTTGACCGAATATTTCAACTTTTGATGTAGTGTGGAAGTCTTTGCACCTGCCCCATGTATCCATGGGCGTCCAATCAGGCATGAGTAAGTAGGACGGATATCCATCACGTAGAATGTTGAGTTGAAAACTTGAGACCCAACTTTGTTAGGGAGATCAACCTCTCTATGAACCATCCTTTTAGAACCATTGAAAGCCCTTACTACAATATCACTAGGTTTTAGAACCAGCCCATCACAATCTAGCCTATCCAATGCTCCTTTAGGTAAGACGTTGAGAGAAGATCCAGTATCCACTAATACATGTGCTAGGGTAGTGCCCTTGCATTCTATGGAAATGTGGAGAGCATTGTTGTGATTCTTCCCCATCGGGGTGAAATCTATATTAGAGAACCCTAAGCCATTGTCGGCAGTCAAGCTTGCTACACAATTTTAAAATTGGTCGGCCGTAGTTTCTTGTGGGACATGTGCGTTTTTTCAAGAATTTTATCAGTGCTTGAGCATGCGCTTCAGAGCACAGCAACAAAGACAACATAGAAATCTTCGAGGGTGTTTTCCCTAACTATTCCACTATCTTATAGTCACTTTTTATGATAATTTTTAGAATCTCCTCCATTTCTTGGGTAGATTAGTTCTCAATGGTAATATCTTTTGTGGGCGCCTCCGTCCTAATAGGTTCAGTCATTTTTTTCTTTCCTCGAGTATCAGCAACAAGTTTAACAACAGTAATACCAATGTGTGTAGTAGTGTTTGTCATAGGTGAAATCTATGGAGAGAAGATCCTCCCCGTACTAGTAACTTTACTTGATACAACAATGTTTATAATGTCGGCAGTTTCATCTTCATCAATCCAGGAATCTTTTTTTACAACATGGTAGTACACTTTGGCCCCATAATTCTAGGGCACAACCTTAGTAGAAGAGTAGGGGACTGGCCTTGGTGTGGTGATAATTAGTGGCGCTATTCTTGGTTCATTGGGAATCCTAATAGGACCTTTGGAGGTGATCCTAATAGGTTTGTTGGAGATGGTAAAGATCGATACGTCTTCAAATTCTTGAGATACACTTTGGGTCAAACTTTTCACAGGTGGAGTTCTTTCAAATAGAATCTCATGGCTATCCATTAGGTGTTGTACACCTTTCTTAAGTCATTCACAACCATTAATTTGTACAGCACATCAACAACAGTCTTCAAGGCAGTCAGGGAATACCCCAACTTTCAACAAATTCTTTTTAACAATCTTCAAAGGGGTGGTCAAATCTTTGATAGAGGAAATAAAAGAGGCATCTTCAACAATATTGACACCCTTTCCATGATTTGGCATGGGTGCAATGATTACATTGAGAGTTGACGGAGGGTCGAATTCAATTGTCTTGTTATCAATGAGGTCTTGGATTTTATTCTTTAGATACCAATAATCATTGGTATCATGTCCGAGACTGTTTGAGTTGTAAGCACACTTGGAATTAGGGTTGTATTTTGGAGAAGCGGTGTTAGGGTTGGAAGGAGGATCTCGTAAGGTCACCAAATCAACTTTCAATAGGTGTTGCAGAGCTTGAGATACTGACATATTGATTTTAGAAAACTTTCTTCTTTGGACATCCAGTCTTTGTTGATTATTTTGTTGACGCGGTCGTTGAGTTGGAGTTGGGTTAGAGATTAACACAATCCCTACTGAATGATGACGATCATTCTTAGCATGGCTTCTTGACCCATACACAGAACTAGTCTCTTTTTTACTAATAAATAGTTTTTTCACAACATTTGAAGTGGAGTCCATGGGTATCTTCCCGCTTTTAATCCCGCTTTCAACCCTCTTACCAGCCAAGATCAATTGACTGAATCCGAATGATGAACTTCCAATCAGAAAGTTGAAAAATGGTCCAGTCAATGTTCCCATAAACATATCTACCAACTCCCTTTCAGTCAAAGGTGGCTGCACCTTCTAGCCAGGTCTCTCCATTTTTTGGCGTATTCTTTGAAGCCCCAATTGGTACTCATGGTCATTCCTTGAAATTTCACCCTAGTTTGCACAAGATCAGTGTTATATTGATATTGGCGATAAAAAGTAGTGTCCAAATACTCCCAAGTATGGATGTTAGTCCCTTCCAATTGGTAAAATCACTCCAATTGCATCCTAGATAGACTTTCTTGAAAAAAGTGCACCCATAGTTTCTTATCAGTGGTATGCGGCTGAATTTTGTGGACGTAAGATCTTAGGTGAAGCTTCCGGCATGAGACATGATCGTACTTAGGAAAAGCGGGAATCTTGAATTTGTGGGGAATGACTACCCCAGGAACCAAACCTAAGTCACCGAAGTCCAAGCCAGACACAACTTGGATTTCCACAGCTTTCAATCTGTCTTCTAGTTGTTTATACTTGTCATCAGCGGGTGGATATTGCTCATCAAAAAAATCTTCATCTTCAAAGATTTGATTGTTTTCGCCCCCAACACGTGTGCTCCTAGAATCTTCATCTTGATTCTCATCCTCCTCGGAGGAGTCTTCTTCACCTTGAACTTGTCGGACGGGGCCTTTGAATCTCTTCCCCATGTTGATTACAACTTTCTTCTTTGTCTTCTTCTTCGTGACAAGAAGTGTCATCATTTCTTGCTGCCCCTTTTCTAATTTGAGAAAAGTTTCTTGAAACTGAGAGTTTTGAGCTTGCAAGTCCTTCATAGTTTGCTCGAGATCCATCTTGTACTGAAATAAACAGTAGAAAGATGAGGAAACCTGTGTCGGAAAACCTGCTTATGATATGATGCATGTTATGCATATGCAATGCTTTCAAGGATTTTAGATATTAAAATTTGCTTAAACAAAGAGGAAATAAAACATTAATTGTTTTAATAAGTTCATGAATTACAAATGCCTCTTGGGATTACAATGGAAGGAACAAAGATGATACAAAAGGACTCAAGCTTCCCATGGGTGCATCCTCTTTGGTGCAATGTAGGAATTTAAACTTCGCTCTTCATGAAGTTGCCCTGTGAGCTCCAAAACCTTCATCTCGCTTGCGTAAAATTGGGTTTCAAAGGTGTCTTGCTCTCCTTTGAGTTGAATCCATGATCTTTTCCATTCTTTGAGAGTAGTAGGCATGTCAGGATGAAGAGTGGTGTAGGGAACATCTCCTCCGACAATAGCTCCAAAATGATAGGTAGGATGGCCCATATTCCATCATTAGGCTTTGAGTGCGAGCTCGCACCCACTTGAGGTAAGGCTCCAAAGGAATGGAGTTCTTATGCCCAAATTTTTTCTATCAACTTTGTTCACCATGCCCCAAGCTCGTACAAATCTTGGACGATAACCTTGGACATCATTCTCATAGTAAAATACAATACCTTGGACAAGCGCGTCATGAGGACCATCCCTCCGAGCATACCCAAAATGTCATAGAGCCAAGAAAGAATTATTTGTGATACCTCCCCTAATGCCAAGGAGTAGGACATTAGAGAATTCCCCACAACAGTCAATAATGGTGCCATCCTCCAAAGATAGAGAACACCAATGAATATCTGGATGCGAGAGTGACATCAACCTTTGAGACCACTTCATGCCTTGGTCATTCTTTAAAACAGATCGAGGAAGGTGTGAAATAAACCACCTATCCAACAAAGGAGTGCAACACATAAGAATTCCCCTTCTCTTCATGGTGCGAGCGTGGAGAGAATGCAAAATGTCTCTGAGTAAGGTAGGTACCGGGTTACGAGATAGAAAAAC